TGTCTTTTTGAAGCAGGGTCTCCCTGTAGCCCCAGCTGACCTGGAACTCACTATGTAGACCAGGCTGGCCTTGAACTCACAGAGATCCACCTGCCTCTGCCTCCCAAGTGCTGGGACTACAGGCGTGTACCACCACGCCCTGCTGACACAGTCTTTTTTTTAAGATAGTGTCTTGCTATATATCCCAGATTGGCCTTGAACTTGCAACCGTCCTCTGGTTTTAGCTTCCCAAGTGCTGGGATTGCAGGAGTGTTCCTTTGTGCCCAACTCACTTTGTTGTACTTTAAATGGGATAATGGAACAGTGTATGGATCTAGATACTAATACTTGATTATGGTGCAGTTGGCAGGGGTCGGTATACTCTTCCACGTTGACAGCTGGATGGGCCTTGAGAAGGCAAGGTGTTGTATGTAGCAATCTCCTGTGTTTCTTTAGGCGGGCAGTCCATTCAGAGAGCCTCTAATCAAGTTCCTGACCCGGCATCCCTCCCAGACAGTAGAGCTGTTCATGATGGAAGCAACTTTGAATGATCCCCAGTGGAGCCGAATGTTCATGGTAAGAACTGGAGGGGCTGCAGTGGGACCTTCAGCCAGTATGACTGATGCTGTGATGGGTTCCTGCAGAGTGGCATCAGCCAGTGTGACTGTGGTGGGCAGAGCATGACTGTAATCGGGCCCTGCAGAGTGTTGTCAGCTAGTGTGCCCAGTTGGCAAATTCACATTTCACCCCTGGGTGTCCTGGCTTCACATTTCTCAGAGAGAGTTGGATGTTGAAAACGTCATTGCTGTTTGATTGTATATGAAAAGTCCAGACCCAGGAGTCACTCTTTCTAGAATTTGGTGGTTGTAGCAAATGAATTCATGGGTAGGATTAGAAATTCATAATCAAAAAGATGATTATTGGGGCCTGAGAGGTGGCTCAGCAGTTAAGAGCCTGCTTGCTCTTGCAGAGGACCTGGGTTCAGATCCTAGCAGCTACATGGTGGTTCACAACCCTCTGTAACTCTAACACACTTTTCTGGCCTCTGGGCATTGCACACATGGTTCACTTAAATATGTACGGACAAAACCATTCATGCACATAAAATAAAAATAAAACTCAAAAAAAGGTGGGGGGTGATTATTATTTATTTAAAAGCATCTTTTAGAAAAAAGATTTAGTTGGGGTGGCGGTGCACACCTTTAATCTCAGCATTTTGGAGGCAGAGGCAGGTGGATCTTTGTATGTTTAAGGGTAATCTGATTGACATAGGAATTCTAGGACACTCAAGCTGTTTAATAAGACCCTGTCTCAAAAAAAAAAAAGGTTTATTTTATGTGAATGTGTGTGTGCCCGAGTGTTTGTATGTGCACCAGGTACATGCAAGTGCTCACAGAAGCCAGAAGAGGGTGTTGAATCCCCGGGGTTTGAGCTGTCGGGAGTGGTACTGGGAATGGAACCTGAGTCCTTTCAAAGCACCAAGTGTTCTTAAGTGCTGAGCCATCACTCTAACCTCTAAAATCTTTTTACAAGGGTTCTTCCAGTGATTTTGAGGTTTGTTTTTAACTTGTAGAGATTTACCAGTAATCTAAGATTCCTGTTTCCCAACCTTTATGCTTTGGATCCAGTCAAAGCAGCTTTCTGGATTCTTGTGCTTTCAGAGTTTTTTAAAACACAAGGACGCCAGGCCCCTGCGGGACGTGTTGGCAGCCAACCCCAACAGGTTCATCACCCTGCTGCTGCCAGGTGGAGCACAGACGGCTGTGCGCCCCGGCTCGCCCAGCACCAGCACCATGCGCCTGGACCTCCAGTTCCAGGCCATCAAGGTAGCATGTCTTCACTAGGGACCCCAATTCCCCGCTCCATGGTAGGCTGAGCTGTAGTTCCCTGATGATTGCCTCTTCTGTGTCAGATCATAAGCATCATTGTTAAAAATGATGATGCCTGGCTAGCCAATCAACACTCTCTGGTGAATCAGCTGAAGAGAGTGTGGGTGAGTGAGACCTTCCAAGAAAGGCACCGTAAGGAGAACATGGCTGCCACCAACTGGAAGGAACCCAAGCTGTTGGCCTTCTGTCTGCTGAACTACTGCAAGTGAGTTCCTCTAGCTTCATCCATCCAATTGGACTGTGGCCTTGCCCCTAATGGGCTGTGGCTCCTTGGGTATGTGTGGTCAGATTTGTTACAGAGGATGGGTAGTAACTCAAGGCTTTAAAGCACATATCGGGGCTGAGGAGATGGGTCAGTGGTTAAAGTACTATGTGCAAGTGTGAGGATGGGAGTTTGTAGCCCAGAAACCTAGGAACTGCCTGGTGGGTGTGGGGGCCCACCTGTAATTCCATCCTCAGAAGGCAGAGACTGGGGGATACCCAGCGCAAGCTTGCTAGTGAGGTTAGCCTTAATCAGTGAACTCTGAGTTTAATTGAGAGACCCTGTCTCTGTGATTAAGTAGAAGATAGATGGAGGAGGATTCCTGATGTCAGCCTCTGGCTTCCACACGCAGGTGCACATGTGCATATGCACCCACACACGTGCACACCACACATACATAAAAAATGGAAAAAGGAAAGAAGAAAAGCGCAAGCCAGGGAGGCTAGGAGTTAGAGACCTGCCTTGTGCTGACATCTTTCTTGCTCTGACCCTTCAGAAGGAACTATGGAGACATAGAGTTGCTGTTCCAGCTGCTCCGAGCCTTCACTGGCCGTTTCCTCTGTAATATGACCTTCTTGAAAGAGTATATGGAAGAAGAGATCCCCAAAAACTACAGCATCGCTCAGAAACGTACCTTGTTTTTTCGCTTTGTGGATTTTAACGAGCCCAACTTTGGCGATGAGCTGAAAGCAAAGGTGAGTCCACAGTGACGCAGGAGATGGCAGCAGGTGCTGAGTCCACAGTGACACAGGAGATGGCATCAGGTGCTGAGGTGGTTTCCTGGAACCTTGGCCCTGCTGCAGATGTGGACACAGTGGTCTGGGCTATGAATAGTCTGAATGAAGCTGCTGCTTCGGAGCACAGGGCAGATCCTCAGGTAAGCCCACCTGCAAGAGTAGATTGTTGGTTTTCTTATGTTGGAAAATGAAGCAAGAAGAGGAAGCAGGCCGAGGCTGGGGCTCTCTTCCCAAAGTGTATGTTTATTGATACAGGGTCTCACTATGTAGCCATGGCTGGCCTGAAACTGCTACATAGACCAGGCTGCCATGTAGACCTTGAGCCCACAGAGATCCACCTGTTTCTGCCTCCCGTGCAGGGATTAAAGGCATGTGCCACCATGCCTGGCTCCTCTGATGTTTTTAGTTACCATTTGGCTGGAAGTCAGGATGAGCAGCTCCTCTCTTAGCCAAGCCCTAAGTTGATGGTGCAGGATGGGAAAAGTCTTGTTTCCTCACTGCAGAAATACATTGTATGGCTGTCCTTCACTTCTGCTCCTCTGTAGGTTCTGCAGCACATCTTGAATCCTGCTTTCTTGTACAGCTTTGAGAAGGGGGAAGGAGAACAGCTCTTAGGACCTCCCAACCCAGAAGGAGACAACCCAGAAAGCATCACCAGCGTGTTCATATCCAAGGTGGCGTCCCCAGCAGCCTCTGCGGGGCAGGGCTTTGTAGATGAGTGAACATATATGTATGTGGTAGGGGTTTGTGGGAAAAAGATTTCCTTTAGGGCTTGAGCGTGTGTGTGTGTGTGTGTGTGTGTGTGTGTGTGTGTGTGTGTAGTGTGCGGATATGTATGCACATGGGTGGAGGTCAGAGGACAACTTGGGAAAGTCAGTTCTCTCCTTCCACCATTTGGGTTCCAGGGATTGAACTCAGGTCATCAGGCCTGATAGCAAGTTCCTCTATCCATTGAGCCATCTTGCCAGCCCCTAAGAATGTACTTTTTTTTGGTCTTTTTGAGACAGGTTTCCCTGTAGCCCCAGCTGGCCTGGAACTCACTATGTAGACCAGGCTGGCCTCAAACTCACAGAGATCCACCTGCCTCTGCCTCCCAACTGCTGGGATTAAAGGCATGTGCCACCATGCCAGGCAAAAATGTACTTTTAAGGTTCAGACTTATGCTACCATAATTGTTACCATCGTTGGATAGCACAGTCCAAAATTCAAGGTGAGCTCCTCCCTGCTCGTCTTTCCTGGCAGGTCCTGGACCCAGAGAAGCAAGCCGACATGCTGGACTCCCTGCGGATCTACCTCCTACAGTATGCCACACTGCTGGTGGAACATGCCCCCCACCACATCCATGACAACAACAAGAACCGGAACAGCAAGCTGCGCCGCCTGATGACCTTTGCGTGGCCTTGCCTGCTCTCTAAGGCCTGTGTGGATCCTGCATGCAAATACAGTGGACACCTGCTGCTGGCGCACATCATTGCCAAGTTCGCCATCCATAAGAAAATTGTCCTCCAGGTACTTGGCAGGGCTCCCTCCCGTGTCCCCACATTCACATGCGTTCTCTGATGGGTAGGCCTTGCCCCCTGTACAGCCTCTCCTTTCCTGTTATCTTTTCCCAGTGCCACTCAAAGAAAAGGCTCATCCCTGCCTTATAAAAACTATGAGCAACAGTCACTGTAGTATTCTCCTTTTCTGGTACAACATTAGGAAGCTAGTACTTATTATTATCATTTATTGCTGAGAGACAGCATTGGGAAGCTAGTATTTATTAATATTACCATTTATTTATTTCTTTTTGTGCAAGTGTTTTGCTTTCCTGTATGTGTGCCTGGTCTATGTGGAGTGAAAGCGTATGACGTCAACAGAGCCACCGTGGGGTTCCTGGGAACTAAACTTGGGTCCTCTGCAGGAGCAGCAAGCTCCCTTAACTGCTGAGCTATTTCTCCAGCCCATTTTTGTTTATTGAGACAGTGTCTCACTCTAGCTCCAGGCTGTCTTTGAACTTATAGTGATCTTCCTGCCTCAGCCTCCCAAGTGGAAGCCTGTATTTAACAGGGACAATTTCAGTTTGAGAGACAAAAAGGTTCTGTATTTGGATGGTAGACAGACACACAACAAAAGAGTATGTAAGGTGCTGTTGAACCTAAGGGTGGAACAGACAGAAATGCAGTGTTGATTGTTATTATATCACAAGGAAAGAAAATTTGAGAGGGAGTTACAAAGCAAAGCCTTGCAGTGTGACCTCTCCTCTATCACAGATGTACGCCCTCTCCCTCCCCCGTCACTGCTCTGCCCTCAGTTCCCTTACAGCCTTGCTTTTGAATGAAATATCTCACTTTCCCATATCAAATTCCTCTACCCTGCATTTTGGCTTCTAATCCTTTTAAATTATTTTATTTTATTTTATTTATTATTGTGTATATTTGATACATGTGCAGATGGGTGCATGAGCCACAGCATCCATGTGGAGATCAGCAGCTCTGGAGCTGGGTCTCTCCTTCCACCTTCGTGTGGGTTCTGGCGATCAGACTCGGGCTGTCAGGTTTGTCTGGCAAAGCACTTTTCCTGATGAGTATCTCGCTGGCCCTTAGCCTCTAATTCTAACCTTCCATTGAAACATTTATTTTTATTTTATTTTACTTTTTTTGAGACAGGGTCTCCCCTTTAGCCCCAGCTGGCCTTGAACTCACAGAGATCCACCTGCCTCTGCCTCTGGAGTGCTGTGATTAAAGGCGTGTGTCACCATGCCTGGCTATTTAATTTATATTTTAAAGATTCTTTTAAAACTTATTTTTATTTTGTGTATTTTGTCTGAGGATATATAGGTATGCCCCTGGGTGTGCAGTGCCCCTAGAGGTCAGAAGAGGGTGTCAGATCTCCTGGAACTGGAGTTTCAGATGCTTGTTAGCCTCCTTATGGGTGCTGGGAACTAAACCCAGGTCCTCTACAAGAGCAGGAAGTGCTTTTAACTGCAAAGCCATCTCTCCAGCTCCTAATTTATTTTTAAAAAACACAGTTCTTGTGCTGGGCCTGGTGGCTCACTCATTTAATCCCAGCAGAGACAGGCAGATCTCTGAGTTCGAGGCCATAGTGAATCCAGGCCAGCTGTGGCTAGAGACCCAATCTCAAAAAGACAAAAAAACAAAATCCCACAGTTGTTGCTGTGTTACCCAGCCTGGCCCTGAACTGGACTCATCATCCTCAAAGGTCCCAGTCTGTATGTTCTTTTTAGCCAAAAACAGTGTAGTGGGCACTTTGATCCCTCATCTCATGTCCCCTCCCTCGTGTTGATAGCTTGGGAAGGATTTCCTCGTTTCATGGTTTAGTGGCTATGATGACAGGCGACACTGGGTTGAGATTAGTTTCCTCACAAGTTTGGTGCATTCAGCATCGTTCAGTTGTAGCTCTTGTCCTCATGCAATCTCTGGTAGTTTTCTCTGAGTGAATTGGCACCTGTTGAAAGGTCAGACTCAGCCAGTCGTCCCCTCCCAGAGTCACTCCAGGCCCTGTGGCCAGCACTGCTCTCCCCAGTTGTCCAGCCTGAAAAGGCCAACAGCCATCTCTTAGGCGCTTTCCTCCTTGCACTTGGTGGTGACAGTACTGCTTCCTACCTTCTTCTGTCCCCTCTGCCCTCAGTTCTGTGATTTAAGCAGACTTTGCACTGTCTCTGATGTTGGGTCTTCCTCTGTTGGCCACACTGTAGCCAGAGCCATATGATCTGTATACTTCAGATAACTTCTAATTGTGCCAGGTGGAAGTTGTGTGGTGTTTATGTGCCCTGGCCTAGCCTAGCACAGGCATGAAACACTGCGCGTGCTTTAGGCTATAGAGGGGTCGTATTCATTATGAACACTATAAAAAAGTATTATTTTTATTTTATGTGTATGAGTGTGTTGCCTGCATTATGTAAGTTCACTCATGCCATGCAATGCCCAAGGAGGTCAGAAGAGGATGTCAGATCCCCTAGAACTGGAGTTATAGGCAGTTGTTAGCCACCATGTGGGTTCTGGGACTCTAATCCAGGCCCTCTGCAGGAGCAGCCAGTGCTCTTAACTGCTTAGCCATCTCTCCAGCCCTTCATTGATGAATACTTAATGGAAGAGAAAGAAATGATATGTTTCTAGTATTTCTGAGTCCTTTAGTTTTCTACATGTCACACCCTGGTGTCAGCACTTGCCCCAGCATGCCCTAGGCCCTGGATTCTATGCAAGGCATTTCTGTTTCTAGGTTTTCCATAGTCTTCTCAAGGCTCACGCGATGGAAGCCCGAGCGATTGTGAGACAAGCGATGGCCATCTTGACCCCAGCAGTTCCAGCCCGCATGGAGGATGGACATCAGATGCTGACCCACTGGACCAGGAAGATCATTGTGGAGGAGGGGCACACAGTTCCACAGCTGGTGCATATTCTGCACCTCATAGTGCAGCACTTTAAGGTGGGTGGAGGGAGGTGGGTGGAAGGACACCAGAAGGGCCTGTGTGAGCCTTGGCCTTGGCTTCTCTTTCTACAGTAAGGTGGCTATTTACCTTTTAGTGAGAGCAACTTCCAGGTCAGTGATTAACTGAAGTGTGTATGCATGACTCTGAGACTAGAGATGGCTCCTGTGCAGTCCTGGCCTGCTTTCTCCCTGATGAGAGACTACTTTTTTTTTTTCTTTTGAGATAGGTCTCATTATGTAGCCCTGGCTGGCCTGGAACTTGCTATGTAGACCATGTTGACCTTGAACTCAGAGACCTGCCTGCCTCTGCCTCCAGAGTGCTGGTGTTAAAGGTGTATGCCACCACACCTGGCTCATTTATTTTCAGTTTCAAAATTAAATTATACCACCATTTCTGTACCTATTTGGTAAGTTTTTTTTGGTTTTTAAATATCTATAAAGCTGCCATGACTTCTAATACATGGAAAGACTCCTTTTTCTTTCCTTTTTTTTTTTTTTTTTTTTTAAATAATTTACAACATGGGGGCCTGGAGAGATGGCTCAGTGGTTAAAGGCGTGCTGAGATTAAAAGGCGTGCCCCACCACATCCGCACTATATTATTGTAAGCTCTTGTTTTCCCATGCGATAAGCTATCACTCAGGTGGAGGTGGCTGTTGGTGAGTCTAGATTTTGGTAACTCAGCTGCAGAGATACTCCCGTGGCTAGCGTTCCGGTAGCTAACCCCACTTGGGTTTGGCCCTTTGTAAACGTTGCTCATAAGCCGGGCGTGGTGGCGCACACCTGTAGTCCCAGCACTTGGGAGGCAGAGACAGGTGGATCTCTGTGAGTTCAAGGGTTAGCCTGGTCTACATAGTGAATTCTAGGACAGCTCGGGCTACAGGGAAGCCCTGCTTCAAAAAGAGCAAAAAAAAAAAAAAAAAAAAAGTTGCTGTGGACTTTAGGAGAAAGGAGTGAATTCAAAAACTTGCTCTTGCATGGCACACTCTTTGAATTGGAAATCACTTCTTGGAGTGTGTGGAACTTCTATGGTGTCAAGTCTGAAGTTTGATGGATGTGACTAGACTTTCCACTTGGGATTCATACACAAGTCCTGTCTTCAGTTGGTTCTGGTAGACTGAAATACAGCATCACATCATTAGGAGCCTGGAGGAGCAGGGAGAAAACACTTGGCAAAGATAAGACGCAGAACCCTCAGGTGTGAGGCTGGGATGCTAGGATGAATGTGTGTGTGCACAGCTGGTGTGACCTTGGTCCCATGTCCACAGGTGTACTACCCAGTGCGGCACCACTTGGTGCAGCACATGGTCAGTGCCATGCAGAGACTGGGCTTCACGCCTAGTGTCACCATTGAGCAGAGGAGGCTGGCTGTGGACCTTTCTGAAGTTGTCATCAAGTGGGAACTTCAGAGGATCAAAGACCAGCAGGTAAGAATGTCAGCCCTGTGTGACCTCTGATTGGTTCTTTACACTTCTGGGAAGCAAGTCAGTAAAGTTGGGTGTGTGTGTGTGTTTAAGCCGGATTCAGACATGGATGCAAATTCCGTCGGAGACGGCGTCAATTCTGTCTCATCCTCCATTAAAAGAGGCCTGTCCGTGGACTCTGCCCAGGAAGTGAAACGCTTCAGGGCCGCCACCGGAGCCATAAGCGCAGTAAGAACTCATGCTTTCCTTGGGGGGCTGGTGTCCTTGCTTTTCTTGTGGGTGCCAGGGGCCTCCTGAAGTCTGCGTCTATTTCATGCACTTCCCATGTCAGCCAACTGTAGAAGAGACAGCTGGAAACACAGCACCCATTCCAGATCTTTCTCAAGTTTTATGACTTTTTTTTTTTTTTTTTTTCCGGCACTGGCTTAACACCATCAGAGTTTTGTTGGTAATAGTTGTTATTTGCAGAAAGGCTGTAAGAGGAACACCTTGAAAGATGGGGCTGTGACTCAGCTGTAGAGCACTTGTGTTGAATCTGTGTGCCCAGATTTCCTCACTGAGGTACTGGGATGTGGCTCAATGGTAGACCATCTGTCTAGAATCCAAGTAAGGGGACGGGGGAGTGGGCAGTAGTAGAGCACCTGCCTAGAATCCCCCAGTCAGGGGCTGGAGATGTGGCTCAGTGATAGAACACCTGCCTAGAATCCCCCAGTGAGGGACTTGGGGTATGGCCTAGTGGTAGAGGTCTTGCCTAGCATATTTAGGACTTTGGGTTCCATTCACAGCAATCCCTTAACCCCTTAAAAAAACAAATAACAGAAAGAACAGAACAAAGAAAAGCACTTTGAAGCAAGAAAAGGAAAACACACACACACCACTAAATTATTTTTACTTTTTTAGACAGGGCCTCACTTCAACTCAGAGATCCACCTGCCTCTGCCTCCCGAGTTCTGGGATTAAAGGCATGAGCCATTGCTCCCACCCTTTGCTTAATGTTTAAACAGATAACTCGTCCCCACTTTTCCGGAGGGCAGCTTCCAAGAGGGTCTCTAGCATTGGGTTTTTACCTGTTATGCGGTGGCCCTGGTAGCCCCAAGCTCTGTTCTTACCTGGCATCGGATCCTCTGGCTTGTGGGGTCTGACTCGGCTGAGAATACTTCTGGGTTCCTTTCCTCTGCTTTCCTTGGCCTACTGACTTAGGTGGCCCCACACTCAGTCAGGACTCCAGGGAGAAGCCTGGCCCATCTCTGCCTTGTCCGTTTCTTCTCCCCCAACCTCTGTACCTCCCGCCAGCAGTTCCATGTCCTTGTCTCTGTTTATTGCCCTTTCACATTTCTCACGAGGCAGAGTGTGAAGTTTTTCCAGTTTCAGTGGGAAGCAGGATGAAGGGTGTGTGGGACCTCTATACTGTTTTTGTCAGTTCATTTTAATAATCATTTAAAAGTTAAAAATTAAGTCAGACTGCCTTTGCTGGCACCTTGACCGAGCACTCCATCCCGGGGAGCAGGCCCTCATCTCACTATGCTCTAGTTGTCCGGGTCAGCCCTGCAGTGCAACAACTCCTGGTCTCGTCCCTCTTTGTCTCTGCCCACTGACTCTTCTTTGTGTACCTGGCCCCAGTTTCTCTTCCCTTACAGCCTGCTTCTCAGTCACTCCATCTGTCCGTTACAGACGTCATCATTCCTTACTGCAGCTTTGTGTGTCAGTTGTGTGCTCTCCTGCCAGGTCCCTCAGCTTCACAGGGCAGAGGCCCACTGACCCTGGAGTCCGTAACGCTCAGGGCACCATCCATCCCTGGGAGGTGCTGGTACCCATCAGCTGGCTGGAGGAGCCAGCGCCTGTGGAGATGCTTGTCTCTCCCTGTCCTAAAGGACGGCCCTTTCCTAGGTGTTTGGGAGGAGCCAGTCGCTGCCTGGAGCTGATTCTCTTCTTGCTAAGCCGATTGACAAGCAGCACACGGACACCGTGGTAAACTTCCTCATCCGAGTGGCTTGTCAGGTATGAGACTGCAGAACAGAGGGCCCTAGTGACTCAAAGGAAATAAAACAGACCATAGGGCAGCACCAACATCTACCTTTCTCTTTTTTTAAAAAAAAAAATAAAATAACTCTATTTATTTATTTATTTATTTATTTATTTAATTTATTTATTTAACATGTATGAGTGTTATGCCTGCATGTATGTAAGTGCACCCATGTCATGCTATGCCTGCAGAGGCCAGAAGAAAGCGTTGGATCCCCTGGACCTGGAGTTACAGATGACTGAAGTTCATTTATTTGTATGTAGCTTGGGCTGCCCTCAAATCCACAATCCTATCTTGACCTTTGAGTACTATGATTATAGGTGTGTGACACCACACTTGGCTGTCTGTGTGTGCCTTTTTATTGATAGGTCCCACCCCTACCCCCAGTTTCTTTTAGTGTTCATGAAATGACATGACGTGAAAAAAATTTTTTTTTAATTTTTTATTTTATGTGTATGCATGTATTTCCTGCATGTAGGTAAGTGCACCTGTGTCGTGCAATGCCCACAGAGGTCAGAAGAGACTGTTGGATCCCCTGGGACTGGAGTTAACGGACAGTTGTTAATTGCCATGTGGGTGCTAGGATTTGAACCTGGGTCTTCTGCAAGAACGACCAGTGTTCTTAACCACTGACCATCTCTCCAGCCCCGACTTAAAAAAAAATTTAACAGCTATATGACATGCATGTAGAGGTCAGAGGACAACTGTGGGAGTCTGTTCTCTCCTTCTGCCATGTAGTACTCAGGTTGCCAGGCTTGGTGGCCATCACCCTTACCTATGGCCCAGTGTATCTCGTAATTTAACATTATCTTGGTGTTGGTGGCGTGTGGTATAGTCCAGGGACCTTGGTCCAGTTATTTCTCTTCCTAGTGTTCTTTTCTGTGTTCTTAAGTGGGGAATGAGTCAGTAGCTTATAACAGTGTTGACGTCCCCCTTTACAGGAAATTTGTGCAACGTGTAATTATTTAAGTGCCTTGCGTGGGGGTTTATCATTTATATTAGTATTTATGGTGTCACAGAATTCCTGGGAATCCATTTCTGAAACTCATTCTTTTTGCTTTTCAAAACCCAACCTAAATGAAATTCTTCTAGATTTTTTAAAATTTGGAGGGATCATCAATCCTTAAAACTATCAGACAAAATGTATCTTAATAATACTATTGAGAACTGAAAAGAATCTATTGAGTTGTCCAACCAGAAAATAATTCCTTGTTTCCCTGCAGTGTTGGGGGCTCTGTGCTGGGTGTCCCCATGGGGAGGCACAGGGGCCCAGCTGTCAGTCACACCTGTTGCAGGAGAGGGGGCGTGGGCGAGGAGTTCCCACAGGCAAGGCCAGGCATTGGGGATCATGACATGAGGTGAATTGCTGGGGTGCACAAGTGCCGGCACAAATACAAAATATCACTCCTGTTCTTGGAGTGATTATAAGTTTGCATTCGACTGTCATCTTGTGTGCTTCTGTAGGTCAACGACAACACCAACACTGCGGGTTCCCCTGGGGAGGTTCTCTCTCGCCGCTGTGTGAATCTTCTCAAGACTGCATTACGGCCGGATATGTGGTCCAAGTCGGAGCTCAAACTGCAGTGGTTTGACAAACTGCTGATGACGGTGGTACATGTGCATGTCTGTTAGCTCTGCTCAGGGAGGGGGCACCCAGGTGGTTAGCTGATGCTATTGCCTGGGCTATTTTATTTTTATTATGATTTATTTATTTATACATGCATGTATATGCTGTGGTGCACAGGTAGAGGTGAATTCTTAAACTACACATGGATTTTCTGTATGTTTTTTGAGATAGGGTCTCTCTATGGCCTCAGCTGGCCTGGAACTCACTATGTAGACCAGGGTGGCCTTGATCTCACAGAGATTCATTGTCTCTGCCTCTTGAGTGCTGGAATTAAAGACCTGGGTCTCCACACCCAGCTGAAAACATGGTTTTGAACTTCAGCTTTCCCCAGCCTCAAATATACTTAGAATACAACCAAAGCCCCCTTTTGCTTTTCAAATGCATTCCTTAAATTGATCTAGTTATCTGGAGATAAGCCGTTTGAGGTGATTTATATAGCACCCTTCACAAGTAAATTTGGCTTTTTAAAACAATCTCACGATGGACAAGTAACTAGTTTTTACACACCGTGGGACTCTAAGGCGTAGGCAGATGATGAACATTCAGAACTGTTCCTGGTTGTTCTTCGGTCTTGTTTAGCTGAAAACCTTGATCCTGTGGCTTTTCTGGCACCCACATCATTATCATCTTGGGCCCCCTTTGTCTGGTTGTTTTGGTGCAATTTGAAAGCTTTCGCTCCTGGGCTTAGAGAGCCAGTAGTATAGTTTTTGACTGTTAAAAAGTTAACACTGTTTTTATAGACCTCTGAAAGGCCATAAAGTCCTGATTCTCTCTGGTAGTTTGTGGCTTCTATCTTCAGATTCCTTCCCTGTTGTCCTTTTGAAAGGATGAATTAGTTTGTGTCAGATGCATTTATTGTTAAAAAGGCTGAGGCAGCTGAAGAGAGTTAAGAGACTTCACCTCACCACACTGTACAGTCTGCACACTGTGTGTGAACCTTAGGAATGGAAGTGCCCAGAAGGCATGCCTATGCTTCCTACAAACAGTGCTATTATTTTAAATTTTATTCAGTATTTATTTATTTAATTTATTTATTTTTGGTCTTTTTGAGACAGGGTCTCCCTGTAGCCCCAGCTGGCCTGGATTCGCTATGGAGACCAAGCTGGCCTCGAACTCACAGAGATTCGCCTGCCTCTGCCTCCCAAGTGCTAGGAATAAAGGTGTATACCACCAAGCCTGGCCCTCAGTTTTTATTTATTTTTAATAGTACCATCATCTTAAATTATGATGTAGCTTGAAAAATATTTCTCTTTGGAAAGAATTTTTTTTTTTTTGGGTCTTTTTTGAGACAGGGTCTCCAGTAGCCCCAGCTGTCCTGGAACACACTATGTAGACTAGGCTGGCCTCGAACTCACAGAGATCTGCCTGCCTCTGCCTCCTGAGTGCTGGGATTAAAGGCGTGCGCCACCATGCCTGGCAGAAAGAATTATATTTTAAGTTAAAAGGTAGGTAGAAGGAAGCACAGTCTATTATAGCACCTTTGTATTTTAGTCCTGATTTTAGTGATATAAGTGATATTTAACGTTGACTTTCAATGTTTTAATACCTTTTAAAGAGAAGCTTGACTAAATGTTTACTGACACACACATCCTCCTGTGCATGGTGGCCACCTGCTGGGACAGCTATACTGCATCCATTCTTCTGTGGCTCCTCCTACTCTCCAAACACTTGGTGGCATGTAGGTTTGGGTCTTTCTGGAGTCACTCCTCCATTTATTTCATCTAACAATGGCCTGTGTTCCCCATCCTAGGAACAGCCGAACCAAGTGAACTATGGGAATATCTGCACAGGACTGGAAGTACTGAACTTCCTGCTGACTGTGCTCCAGTCTCCAGCCATCCTCAGCAGCTTCAAGCCTCTGCAGCGGGGCATCGCAGCCTGCATGTCATGTGGGAACACCAAAGTGCTGCGGGCTGTGCATAGCCTCTTGTCTCGTCTCATGAGCATCTTCCCCACAGAGCCAAGTAGGTGACCTTTCCCCTACGGTGCCTGTCTTTGGGCTGGGCAGCTAGGCCTAGTGCCCGATACTTGAGAATAGCCGGTCTTTGGTCGCCATAGTGAGCATTCTGCTCTCTCACTTTGTTTTGCTCTTAATCTGTTTCTTTCTTTCTTTTTCCACAAAAGAACTTTTTGTGTATAAGTGTGTGTCTGTGTGAGTGTGTGTGTGCTTGCGTGCCCATGTCCACTTGGAGACCACAGGAGGAGAGTGAGTGTTCTGTTCTATGGCTCTCTGCCTTACTCCTTAGAGATGGGGTCTCATGGAACCTGGAGCTAGGCTGGGAGGCAGCATGCCCCTGGGATCCTTCTGTCTCCATGCCCCACAGCACTGGTGTCACAGGCACGTTTCTAGCCATGCTTGGCCTTTTCACTGGCTGCTGGAGATTCTGACTTAGGCCCTCACACTTGCACAGCCAGCATGCTTAACCTAAGTCATCTCTTCAGCACCTCAACCTTTTCTTGAAAAATTTTTAAAAAACTTAAAAAAAATTTTCATGTGTATGAGTGTTTTACCTGCATGAATGTAAGTGTACCACATATGTGCAATGCCCACAGAGGCCAGATGAGGGCGTTGGAACTTGAGTTAAGGATGGTTGTTAGCTGCCATGTGGGTACTGGGAACTGAACCCAGATCCTCTGCAAGAGTAGCTAGTGCTCTTAACCGCTGAGCCATCTCTCCAGCCCCTAAAGAAGTTTTTTTGTTTTTTTTCAGATTTGTTTATTTTATGAGAGTATGCGCAACTATGTTGTATGTATTTGTACCATGTGCATGCAGTGTCTGTGGGGGCCAGAAGATGGCATCAGATCTCCTGGAATTAGAGTTATAGGCGTCTTTGCCATCTGGTGTGGGTGCTGGGAACCGAACCCAGGTTCTCTGTTAGAGCAGCAAGCCCTCTTAACTGTTGAATCTTTTCTCCAGAACCCCTAAAAACATTTGTTTTGACATAAACCTTAACAGCATCACATTGTGTCTGCTTTGTTAGTTGGTTCTTCATGTGCTGAAGGTTTTGTTTCAGATATAAAATGAAGGTAGATTAAAGAATGGCAGCAAATATTGTGAAGTGGGCAACATAAAGGTTTTGCATACTGTAAGCACATTCTACATAAAAGCTGTCCTTTGCTGCATAAACTGGGAGCCATCATCCACACTGTCCTGTGTTGTAGACATGACAACAACTGGGACTTGATCTGTTGGGGAGAACTGCATGGCCTAATAGCCCTAACCTCAGCCCCAATGTCCATTTCAGGTACTTCCAGCGTGGCCTCCAAGTATGAGGAACTGGAGTGCCTCTATGCAGCCGTGGGGAAAGTCATCTATGAAGGACTCACCAACTACGAGAAGGCCACCAATGCCAACCCCTCCCAGCTTTTTGGTGAGTGCCTGTCTGGCTTCCCAGCAGCAGTGGTTCAACTGGGCCTTAGTCCCTGCTCACTGGGCATGCACCCTAGGAAAGGTTTGGAGGGCCTTTGAGCTGTTGGGCTGCTCAGTAGTCTTTGTGCTGCCCAGTGCCTACAAGGCTACTGCCCCCTGGTACCTGTGAGATAAATGCACCCCATCTGCCTGTCATTGGTGCCTCCTCTGTACCTTTTGCCCCTGGTCAGACTTGGTTGGGTTTTAAGGGAATTGCCATGTGTGGGAGCCTGCTGAGCTATGCTGGACGAAGCAGGAGGTGCTGCAGTTGGGGATGGAGGGTGGAACTGCTGCCTTCTCCACCCTGGCCCCTTGCCAGTCTCACACTCACAGAACTCGTCCCCGTCTAAGTTTTGTAGTTTGGGCAGACCTGGTATTAGGGCAGTGGGATAACTTCACCCCAGAAGTCAAAATTATGGATCATCTCTGCTCCACGTCACACTAGTTTCTTTTTAGGCTTAGACCGTGCATTAGGGCCTTAATTTTTTTTCCTCCCTTGTTTACATGGTCATTGTTTTATAAAACTTTGGAAATAAAGTATTTTTATTTAAACTAAATGAAAGTTACCCTCAAGCATGTCTGCCCATTAGTAGTGTTTTCAGGTTGGTGTGTATCATTTTCTCTGAATTTTAAAATTTTAGTTCTTTTAATGACATGTATGAATGTATGTAGGACTGTGTATGGATAAGTGTGCATGAGTGTAGGGTCCTTTGCCAGGAGCAGTAAGCGTTCTTAACTGCTGAGCCATCTTTTTCGGCTCCTATATTTTTCAGACACATAACCATACACATACGTCCCTGGTTTTTAAAATGCTTGTCTGAACTTCCAAGCGCATTAATTTTGCAGAGATTCCTTACTGTTTGTTCTCTGAAATTCAGGATCTGGATATGTTAGTTAGTGTATCTTGCAGTTCAAACTGGAGCCAGCAGATTTGTTTTTGCGACTCTAAATGGGATCGTCTTGTTTATCTGGGCTCCCCACCAGAGGATAAAGAAACATTTCTCCTTGTTCGTTCTCCAAAGCACTCAGAGAAGAGCTGACCTCCATAGGCCCTGTCTCCCTCTTCAGTTGGCTTACCACAGGCTGGAGCAGCACATGGTGAGGTAGGAGGGAGCTGGCTGTGCTAGCCTCATCCTTGTGTAATGGACCCAGGGTTGTGTCCCTGGCATCTGCTTTGTGCAAGAGTACAAAGACAAGAGTACAGCAGGGCACATCCCACCTCCATCCTGGATATTGTCAACAACTCAGTTACCAGGCTCTCTGTGCAGTGGCCTTGGGCAGAACCACCCTTAGGCAAGCCTGGGGTGCTGGCCTCTGTGAATAACCTGAAAATGGTAAATGGCTTCTGACCATTCCATAGCATGACCCATGAACACAGAGTGGAGCTCAGTGTTCAAGTCTTCAGCGTCAGAGGACGCAAAGACATCAGTTATAAAGGGTGAATTCTTTGCATGTGCTCAGTGCTATTCTTGCAGAGATTTTAACCGATCTTAGGTAGTCTAGAATGAGGCACAAATTGAATGCCAAAATTCATCATGTTCAGATAGGCAAGACTTTTTAAACAAGTATTTCATTCCTTTTTCACATTATCTCCAAATATTATGGGATGAGACGCTTTACTGACAGTAGTTTGTCAACCTAAAATTAAATCCAGCACCGAGAGAAGAATATTTCTTATGCTGAAGCATGTACACCTTTCATCCCAGTGCTCAAGGCAGAGGCAGGTGGGTCCCTATGACTTTGAGGCCAGCCTGATCTACACAGCAAGTTTCAGGTCAGCTAGGGCTACATGATGAAACCCTGTCTAAAAATCAAAAAGAATACTGTGAAGACCCAGTGTTTTCAGAGTGTGGGAGGGCTCCTTCAGGCAGGGGCTCACAGGGTGGCAGAATATATTGCTTTTTTACAAAAAAAAAATTTATTGAGAATTTCATACAGGCATATAAGGTGTTTTGATCAAACCCATGCCCACTCCCTCCCTTCCACCTCCTCCCATATCTCCCCATCACTTTTTTCAGATAACTGCATGTACTCTTTCTTCTTTTTCTTTTTCATTTTTTTTATGGGGCTTTTTGCTACTTTTAACACTCACCCCTCTGAAGAGGTAACCCTAAAATCTTTTAAGGATTAGATACAAGCTCCCAAATACTTTCAAGAAACATTTTTGGCCTTTGGAATGGAACAGGGTATGTTGCTAAGAGGCCTAAGGACATTGTGAGTTTTAGACAAGAAACTGGTTACTTTTCTTTGGGGTCTTTTTTCCCTAACTGTCTAGCCAATTCCTACCTGCTATTCTTATCACACCATCATCTGAAGAAGTTACCCAAATTGCCAATAGGGAATCAGGACACAGACTGCTCTGGCTTCTTCCATGCTGAACATACTCACACAGGGTGAGACAATTGGAGTACCCCTTCAGAGGGTCTATCTAAAAGACTCCCAAATTGTATAACTCTTGTCTCTAAGGGAAGAGGAAAGTCCTTGAATCATGAATGGGAGATGTGAAGGAGAAGTAAAGGCAAGAGTAGCATTACAAGTTCTAGACAGGAAATTAGAAAAAAGTCAGAACAGGGCAATTTTCAAATGTTCATGTGAAAGTCCTTTGGAATTTTTTACAAGGGCTTCCAAAAGCATCCCTCTATTGGGTTCCTCCTCATTTTTCTTTTGTCTGCCAAGGCAGGACTCCAGAGTGATGGATTCAGGATTTGCTTTTAGGCATTTTGGTAACTGTTGGAGTGGTTAGAATCAGTGTCAGTTCCCTCTCAAAGGCTTCTAGATAGGGGGAGAAAAAAAATTTAGCTATCATTTTAGAACAATAGCGGATTGTCTCTCTTAGTTACAGGTCGGCACTACAGTATTGTAGACCAAGATTTAAAGTCTTATATCTGAGCAGCATTTTCTGATTAGGAACAAAATCATCAGTGAGAAATAATTATCTAAATAACTTTTAAAAAAAAATTATTTATTTAATAACCACATACTTAGAAGAAGCATTTCGTTATGACAGCGTTGACATATTCAATAACAATTTTCTGAGCTAAGATGCATCTCTTTGAAAATTGGCTAAAAATTTTTAGGTTTACAGTTCAATTATTACAGTTATACAATATTGTATTCAGTATAAAGTTTGTGGTTCTGGAATGAAAATCAAGTCTTCTTTGGTTGAGTTGAAGTTTGTTTCTGTTTGTATTATTGGTGTGCCTTAGTTGTTTTCTTATTGGGTTTGTAGAGCTGGTTGGTCTAGGTTCTTTCAGATTTTATTTTGGAGGGAACTGATGGCTTCTGATCAGCTACTCAGGAGTTCCCACAGAAGCCCAAGTCAGGCTCCAGTCAGGTACACTCAGGCTTCCTTCTAATGTTTGAACCCTACTAGTGAGTACTCAGAGCACAATTTGGGAAGTTCCCTAAGGGGAGGCCCGATTTTTGTACTCTCAGGCAGTCTGCTGAGTTCTCAGCCCCTACAGTAGGTGGAGGGCAGATCAGATGCTCTCAGGCGGTCTGCTGGGTTCTCAGCATCTAAGCCAGACAGAGGCCAGAACAGCTACTCTCAGGCTGTCTGCTAAGGTCTGAGGTCTGCCCTGGTGCTGTGGGAGGGGCCTCAAATAATCCTAGTTAGGGGGTTGGGTAAGCTATGATTTGGGGGGAGCTCACCACCATATGGAGGCCGGTTCCAGGTGCTCTTAGGCGGTCTGCTGGGTTCTCAGCATCTAATCCAGATGGAGGCAGAACAGCCACTCTCATGTTGTCTTCTAAGGTCTCAACCTTACCCTACCCCACTCTTGTAATTTTTAAGGGACTGGGAAGGCCTGAGCTAGGTATCAGTATAGGTGTGTTAACACATGGATTATTTTTTAAGGGTTTAGCTGGGCTGGACTGGTATGGCTGGGCATTCATGTAGATTTTCCCCACTCATGAATTGATAATCAGTGGTGCAGGGCTGGACAGCCCTTGATGGAACAGACTGGGGCAGGACTGGAATTCATGTTGATAGCCCACAAACCTTTAATTTATAAGGGGCTGGGCTTGGCTGAGCATCTATGTAGATGTGTAGCATCTGAGTCCCTCCTCCCACTGTCTTTACGACAACCTGAATGAGGCAAGAATTCTCCAAAACAGATGTTTGCAGGATCTTAATGAGTTTATTAGACATGCTAGCTGAGCTTGGGGTGCTGATTTACTTACAGAAGAGTGGGCACTCCTCCTTCCCCATTCATGGCTGTGCTAGAAAGTCCACACCCAAACATAAATCCTGTGGCTTTCCAATAGCCACACAAAATGGTGAGAGACCTGCCTTGTGGTGTTCTCCGCTTATATGTCCTTAGCCCCTCCCCCTCATTCAGGTAAGGTCAACTGATTGGGTGGGAGTGGTAACTGGCTCCCCTTGATTGACTCTTTCAGAGGAGCATAGGAAGGAGGTGGGACTACAGCTTGCCCCATAGTCCTGGGAGGAACTTCCAGGTAACAGGGCATGAAGGAACACTGCTTAACTGCTTACTTCCCTGGCCCATGTTCCATCTTTTTTCTTATAAAATACAAGACCACTTGACCAAGGTTGGCACCACCCACAATAGGCTTAGCCCTCCCACATCACTCAATAATCAAGACAAAGGCCCACAGACATGAGCACAAGCCAGTCCAATGGAGGCGATTCCCCAACTGAGGCTCTCTCTCCACCAGGGCTTGTCAAGTTGACAACTAAGGCTATCTAGCATCACTAGTCAATTGGGGGACACTTAGGTTGCTTCCATCTCTTAGCTATTGTAAAAAGAGCAGCAACAAACATGGATGTACAAGTGTCTTTGTGATAGGATGAATTCTTTGGATATATGCCAAGGAGTGGTATAACTGGGTCAAATGGTAGGTTCACTTGTAGTTTTTTAAGAGTTCTCCACACTGCCACACTGTTTTCCAGAGGAGTTGCACAAGTTTGCAATCCCACCAGAACTGAATGAGCGTTCCCCT